TGAAGCGGACCTCTAAGCGGGACTGTATGGACTTAGTCATTTCATCTTGAAGTAACTTTGTGTCTGTGACCATGAAAAGGTGGAATTTTAACAGTTCATGCCTTCAAGTATTATCACTTGGAAAGAAACTTAGGTGAAGTTGAACCTCAAATCAGTTGTACTGGCTGGAAAGCAATATATTAAAGGTGAGAAATGTAAGAAATGCAAGTGCCCTGACATGAACAGGTGATTTTTAACCACACTGAGCATCTGAAAGAAAGAAAATTCCAGTGTGTCATCTTTTATTCTTAGCTTGAGTCCTGGCAAAATTGCAGACACTTCTGATATTAGCTATTCATCTACAAAAGTACATTCACTAACTCAATAACTTCATATTTAGCCCTGGCATTTCCTCCACTATCTTTAGCAAATGGGTTACAATTTGAAAGACAAATGCAGTAGAAGTTGCTGTCTAATTCAGCTGCTGGGATCACTATCTTCTTCTAACATTGATCTGGGGAAGGAAAGGTGAATAACTGAGTTGAATGAGGATGAGGAATTACTCTTTACTCATAGATCTCTTTCTCAGTTCTTTGTGATACCAAGCCTTGTAGTTTTACCAGGTAACATAATTCTTTAGATTCATTATTTCTTACTGAGAGGACTCTTGGCTTTCCCATGATGAATCCTGTGATTGTCCTGAATAAATTAGTTCTCTCTTGAATTCCGATGTTGATTGACCCTGAGAGCAAAGTAGGCTCTTATTTTGGACTATGTCATAGCAATGTTAGCTGAATTTACATCCTTACTGGATCTATTATGTTCCAATTCATTGATTGGAATTTGGGGATGAGGGGTACCAACAAGTATGTAGAGATGCGCAGATATTTCAAATACCTCTGTTTTATCCAGAAAGAAAATCACGCTGGAATTCATTTTCAACAGAAAACAGCCCTCTTTGTGTGTTGCTTACGGTTATTAATGACCACAAATGTCATAGTTCAATTCAAAGGGGATTCCAGATAGCATCTTGCCACATGCCTGCAAATTTCTGTCTCCTTGTTAATAAATATTTGTATCAGCCTTACATAGGAAGCCAAGGAAAAAGTTAAATCTTATGGTAGTACCTGCCTCTAAACTCAGCTTTCTGGAAGACTGTGGCAGGAGCACACTAAGTTGGAGCCTACCTGAGGACTTAGCATATTATGGAGAACTTGTCTGAATATAGAAATATAAAATGGGCCTAGAATGTAACTCAATGTGTAGGCTCTGGGTTCAGTCCTCACTATTGAAAAAAAAATCAAATTCCAAATGAAAAGATGTAAACACCAACTGTGTTGTTATAATTTAGTCATTATACTGAGAACTGCCAGAAAAATATGTGAGAATTATTAGGGCAATATTTCACAGAGATGGTAAGTATAATTTCGAAGGAGAATTTATTGATATATGTCTAGAGATTATGACCATCCCACATGGGCTCATGTTTCTACACAGGTCTGTAATTTGTAAAACACTTACTTTAATGAAGCAAAATAAATTTTAAGATGTAGGATGTTCGTGACATGAGGCAGTCCTATTCAATGCACATATATATCCCTTAACTAGGTAACATGAGAAATCCTTCCCCCCAGAAAATCATTTCTACAAAATACTGACATATTCAAAAGGTGGTTTGCTGACAGCTTTAAAAAGTACAGTAATCTCCAGCCTGAAATGGACATAGGAGATTCTCTTATTACAGTTAACTTCATTGGAAAGCCTGCATCATGGGAAGTCAGACCTATTTTATGACACTTAACGGACAGTGGCAAGTTGTGTGTTGGTACTTACTGATCAGTAAGGTGGAAGTAGTAGTCAAATTTGTATGTTACATTTTACTAATGGATAACATCACAGAATTCCAAATACTAGAACAGATAGACATTAAGTACCTAGTTGGTCTGTATAATTGGAAAGACTTTAAGATGAATAGAAGAGCAAATGATTCAACCATTATAATAGAGTGTGAATTCCATATTCAGTTAGAGACTTCGATTACTTCATGGAGCCAGAACTCTTTGAGTGTTTTTTGCAGAAGGGTCTTACATTGATATTAATATCAAAATCTTCCTGTACTCTTTCCCAAAGGATGCATGTTCCTTTGCCCAGAAAATAAAAACTGTCCAATGAAGTCCCTGAAATGTAGATTATTCAGGGATTGTACGGCTTCAGCTTTGAGTTAATCTTAATTACAATAACTGTAGCATGCTGCTGCCTTCAGTTACTAAAGCGGAGAAAGGCAGGAGGAAAGAAGTTTCATTGATAATAAGGACTATATGCTAGTCTGCTTTACAGTGGTCTGAGGGCAGATATGAAATTTTCCTGAGCAGATAGTTAAAATATAGAAAGTCAGGTGTCTTCTTCACTAACCATAAAGCAGTGCTTTACCTGGCAAAACTACAGAATTTAATAACTTCAAAGACCTAAGAAACAAATGTGTGAGTAGAACTCAATTTACCTTTTACTAGGTTACTAATTTGGTGAATTCAGTTTTATAGATTAAGAGGTACTAGCAGAAGCAGTTGTCATAGCCTGTCACGTAAAGTAGTGTACCCTCATTTTCTGGGACTTCACTCTAATTTGTTCCTTGAGGCAGCAAACCACAGCCTACAGGTCAATGGCCAATCAAGAACTGTTTTTCTCTTAGCTTTCAAACGAACAGTGTCTTTCATCTGTTAGAGACTTGGCAGGAGGAGGAGAAAGAAGACGAGGAAAGGAAGGTAAGCATATGAGGAGTGTGTGATGATATGCCAAGTAGATGTTTAAAAACTTGTGTCAAGGGCTAGGGATTTAGCTCAGCGGCAAAGCACCTGCCTGGCAAGCGCAAGGTCGTGAGTTTGGTTCCTGGTACAGGAGAAAAACCAAAATAATAATAATAATAATAATAATAATAAATAAAAAAATAAATAAAAAATAAAAAGTTGTGTCAGATTCAAATTCAGGATTTCAGGAAAATTATTTTAAAAGGATACAATAGGGAGTATTATGGAGTTTTTAAGGCAAACATTCTAATTTTCCCTTTTCTGTGATAATAAGTACTCACCAATACTTTATTTTTATAATGATTTGGCCCCATTACTCTTTTCAAACTTAGAATGCTTTCTTTTAAAGGTGGGAAAGTAACTAGATTTCAAAAGAAAGTTGAAATAAATAAAAAACTTTGTAAACTGATCATTTGAATTTTTGCCTTGGATTTTGTCACTGGACATAATGTAAACTGTTAAATGTAAGAAAGCTCTTCTATACATAAGAAAATTTAGAAAGCAAATGCCATTTATCTCTTTAAAATTTTTTTCCAATATAGAATATATTTGCTTTAAAATTTTGTAAAAAATACAAAATCAAGACATGAATATTAGATAAGAAAGAAGCATAGCAGTTTAAATAGTGTTCGAATTGGGCTGAATATAATTTTTATGATTTCCATTTATTTTAACATACAGTTGTACATTATTGTGAAACATTAATTTTGAAATACATGGTCCTTCTAACACTAGGTAGCATAATGTTGGACCAAGACTTTCAGATCATTTAGTAGAAGAATTAAGTAAGTAAATATATGTCAATGTAATGAAATATATATAATTAAAAATATTTCTATCATTAATACAATTGGCACAACATGTTGAATATAATCAAAAACAATGCCTTCAAAGTAGAAAACAGAAATTTGAATAGACTCGCGATGAAGAAATGATAAAATGTTAAGGTGATAGATATGCTCAATACAATGGGCTGATCACTGTACAATGTTTGCACAAATCAGAATATCATAGTGGACTTCATCAATATGTACAAATATATGTGTCCATCAGTCCATACTTATGTTATTAAAGTTACCTTCTTAAGTGATAAAAAGCACATTTTTTTCTTTTTTAGTGATTTCCTTCCATTTCTATTTTTCTATTAAAATTTAAAAGTATTTTATACTGTCAATTTATAATTGTTAACAAATACACACATGTATATGCTATGGAATTATGCCAAATGAACATTTCATTTGAATACAGTTATAAAAAGCAAAAACAAATCCATAATTTTTGCTAAGATAGTGATCTTAATGTTCAGAGTTAGCATTCATTATTCCTACAGGCAGGTTCTCCTCAAGCTCATACGATCCTTACCCTAAATATTTCATCTTATGATGTAGTCTCTAAATTTCCGACAATATTAGTTGTTCCCTTTGACTGCAAAATGTTTTCGAAGGCTCACTTTCGAATGATGAAAAAAACTGAATAGCATTTCTGAGGTGATATAATAGGATTTTACAACATCCTAAGATTTAAATTACCTTGGGTGTATAAACATGCTCCATATTGATATTGATATTGTTCACTTAGAACACCTGAATGTTTTTTCACATTGCCTGTCATCGGGTTTGGCCTGTCAATTGTCTAAAATATACTTTTAGAAATTACATTTTAATATTAAATGAAGATGTGGAATGTGATCATTAGGTATTGTGAACATATCCTAATAAAAAAAATTTAAAAATTGAAAGTGTCAATCAATGTAATTTAAAAATACTCTTAAATTTATTTGTTCTAAATTTCAACTAAACATTGAGAAAGTAAATCCTATTTCCCATTTACATCCACCAGTAAAAAGTTCATTAGGTGATCACATCTAGGTAATTCATTAAAGTTTGTGTAGAATACAGAACAAATTTAATCTCTGAATTCCTGAGCAATGAAAGGAACAGAAAAATGGAAGTCCTAGTTATCTCCTTCTGAGAGAATTTTGAGAGGAAATCAGTAGAAATAAAACGGCAAATTACTTAACCAAAATAAAAAACTATACTCTATTTCTTGTGCTCTCAGCATGAGGGACAAATAATAGTAAGAGTTAGGATTTGGGATTAGGTAGGGCACAATGAAGGTTAGAAGTCCAGGAAAAGGTCATGTAATTTTGAATAGAACCAGAAGATTTCTGTGTCACAATCTATACTTCTTGTTTATTTGTAGTGTCATTGCAGCGCTTCACTTCACTGAGGAAGCTTCAATCCTTTTGGTCATGTGCCTAAAAGCATCTTTCACCTGTTTGTTTCTCAGTGTATAAATGAAAGGATTCAACATGGGGGCAACAGAAGTACTGAGCAGAGCTATCCCCTTATTTAAAGACACTCGTTCCTTTGCAGAGGGCTTCACATACATGAAAATACAGCTGCCGTAAGAAATGGACACAACCACTATGCGGGAAGAACATGTGGAAAAGGCCTTCTTCCTCTGTTGAGAAGAAGGTATTCTCACAATGGTCCTGATGATGTTTGTGTACGAGAGGATCACTAACACCAGTGTAACCAGGAGTGTCAGAATGGCTGAGAGAAGCATCATTAATTCTATTGTGTCTGTTTCGGTGCAAGAGAGCTGAAGTATAGGAGAAACATCACAGAAGAAATGATCGACAGTGTTGGCCGCACAGAAATCAAGCTGGAGACCCATAAGGAGCGGTGGGAATATGATCAGGAAACCAGACACCCACGAAGCAAGGACCAGTAAGTTGCACACTTTGCTGCTCATGAGAGTCACGTAGTGCAGGGGCTTGCAAATAGCCACAAAGCGGTCATAGGACATGGCAGCCAGAAGAAAAAACTCAGTTGCCCCCAAGAGGATGGTGAAAAACAGCTGTGCTGCGCAGTCATTGTAAGAAATACTCTTATCTCCTGTTACCATACTGATAAGGAATTTGGGGATGCAGACAGTTGTGAAGGAAATTTCTAAAAATGAGAAATTTCGGAGGAAGAAATACATGGGTGTCTTGAGATGAGGATCCAGTAGGGTGAGGGTGATGATGGTTAGGTTTCCTGCGACACTCAACAGATAGGTGAAAAACAGGAGAAGAAAAATGATCACCTGCAGCTGTGGATCATCAGTTATTCCAAGAAGAATAAAGGTTGTCACTGTTGTGTGGTTTCGCATGGCTGATTTCTATTTTAAATAAGTAAGCAGAGAAAATTAGAAGCAAAGCGGTGGGTCTGTACAAGATACATCTTGAGATCATTCACAAATAGGTTGCTGTCCACACCTAACCTCTTTCATTAGTCTGCTACCCATCAATAGTTGCTTATTAAAATCTATTCAGATAATTTTTATTCAAAACTTCACTAAGTTTAATTTTTAGTTTAGTTTCCCAAAGTGCATAAATCCAAATGTCCTGTAAGAATAAAATATTGTATTGATAAAGTCATCTAATATAAACTTGAAAAACACAAAGATTTTCATAGTAGTTTAACGTTAATTTTCTGTACTGTCTTTCAATTTTTCCAACATATCTACTTCATATAAATTATTTTACGTTATTGGGCAACTCAATCTCTGGTCTTGGCTTTAAATAAACACATAGTTGACTTAAACATCTCCAGATCACTGGGATTTTCATAGTTTCACCAAACTTCTGTATATTCTTCAAGATTTGCATCCTTATGACCACTATTAGTTCTCCTTTCCTACTTTTTTGTAATATTTGAATTTACTTTCTTTTTGTTTTCTGAGACTTGCAGCTTTTCCTTTATATTTAACTTCCATAGACACAAGGAAAGATAAACTTGAGTCATTATATGAACATAGATGCACCTTGAGACCATAATATTAAGTGAAACAAATCAGACACACACACCTAAATTTCATATGAATTCTCTTATGTAAGAAACCCAAACTATAAATAAAGAGTAAATTATAAGATAGTTAATAAGAAGTAGAGAGGTAGATCTTTCTCCAGTGGGATAGAGGTCAAGAGCTCTATGTCAGTGAGACATTGGTTGATTAGCTTTATATGTCTATATGTGTTTTCATGAGAAACTACATTGAATATATCAATATGTAATACAATAAGCATTGTTAATTCCCTACCACTCTGTTTGTAACTCTGTAATGTCTGTACTGATCCTATGTTATTTTGTAAAATGTTGTCGGTCTGTTAATATTTTCCTCCTTTTATTTCTAAAATAAAAAAAAGAGAAAAAAAAGCCCCCCCCCCAAAAAAAAGAGCTCTGGAGCAGGGGAAAGAAAATGAAAAAGGAATTAAGATGTGTGCATGTACCAACTCCATGCCAGGAATGCAAACACTATGTACTGCGTATATACAAAGGGAGAAGGGGTGAAAAGATGGATGGAGGGAGGGAAGAGGGAAGGGAAAGAAGATGTCAAAAAGGAATTAAGGTGTATTACGTACAGGTACCAACTGCCCAGAAGGAACATCAACATTATTTACTACAAGGACGTGCTAATAAAAACTGAAGAAAAATCAATATTATCTTTTTATATGTGTATTAATACTCCTTTGACTGAAAAATCATAATTATATACATGTCCTTATACTGACTACCCTCTTTTCTCTGTTATACATGCAAGCAGATATAAAACATCTTGTGTATTATGCATCTTTAATAATACAGTGTGGTTTATTGAATGCTTGCAGTGACAGAAGAAAGATCTAGAAGATAAAATGTCATGCATAATAAGAATACACATGCTTCTTCGTTTTGCGATGGTAGCCTCTTCTCTCTTATTCACATCCTTCCCACAAATTTTCTTCCTACCACACTCTATACCGTGTAACAATTATGTTAATTTTTAAACTTTTTTCTTCCTGTTTTGTTTTCTTATAGACCATGAGTTGATCCTACTCATACGCCATGAGTAGATCAATAGAATACTATTTTTTTCTACAGACCAAGAGTATTTCCCTTAAAAGAACATTGGATTATATGTTAACTTGTATTTCAAATTTATTACACTTTGTATATTCCCCCTCTTGTGTTACAAATTGCAAAAACATTTCTGAGGACTACGAATGATGGCAAGATAACTAAGGTTGTTGTCCTAACCTGTCCTTAGTTCTTTTTTCCTTTCTCATTGTCTTTTGATCATTCTTCTAAAATTGTCTGTATGCCTATATTTTGGTTATTAAAATATGATTAACTCATTCATGAGATTTTTAAAATTCAAAGTTACAGTCCATATTAAAGTCAGAAAGCATAAGTGCAAAATAACAGAGAGTTAAAAGTGAACAGAGAGAAATTTTTCAAATGGGAAGGGGATCAAAAGATGCAGAAGGAAGGGAAACGGGGTTTTAAAACAAGAGTTGCAGAAAAAAATGGAAATAGAGACTTTACAAATGAGAAAGGGAAGAAGAGTTGGGAGCAGGGAGGATGGAAGGGGAAGGGGACAAAAATAAGAATGAAGATGCATTACGTACAGGTACAAACTCCCCAGAATAAATGTACCCGTTATACACTACAAACATACACCAATAGAAGAGAATTAAAAGTCAACTATTAAAAACCAAGTAAGGTGAATGAGCATATGACAACCTCAATCAACAATAGAGTGCTTGTATTGTCAGTAGATTCATATGTTTCCTCTTTAGCCTAAATTTAAATTACAAATAAAATTCTTCTTATACTACTGGACAGCATTCATTTCCAAACCCTGTAATAAAAAGCATGCTAGCTGACAGCAAAATAATTATACATATGTTTCCCACCATCATTATACTCCCAAAGGCATCTGTCGCAGATTAGAGAATTTATTAGTGTGGTAAGAGACTTTATTAAAATGTGAGAATACTATCTTAGATGAAATCTTAAAATATTGAATTAAATATAACAACTTAATATCTATTACAGGAACTCAGGTGTAGGGCAAATCCTTTCAGTTTCACATTTCACAGTATACACAAGGATCACATATATTAGAGGCATAGGGAGTTGTAAGTATCAGAAAGAAAAATTCATTCATTTAATAAAAGTTCTATACTGTGAAGAATATCTACTCAAGCTTGCTTCTTACAAAATTAAAAATTTCAACTTCTCTTATCATACAAGTGATTCTTTAGTATAAAAACCGTTTAATGGATGTGTTCTAAAAATTAGTTTTACTTTGATGCCACTCAATTTAATGATTTTATAAAAGAATCACTGTTTCCTCTAACTTCATGCAACAAAGTTAGTATGATTAAAATAAAAACATAATTTTCCAAACCTTCATTTCTGTAGTAATAGTTTGATTCTCAATTGTCTTCTTCTACCAGAAGTCCCACAATGGAGGCAATTTCTCAGTGTTTCACATCACACATATTACACTGCTTTAACCCATATTTCTAGCTTGTCGTTCAAAACTACTACATTAGCATCAACAATATACACTCAGGGTTTATAAGTTCAAAGATTTTTATCGATAACAGTCTTATTTCACTTCTCATGATTTTTTACTTAAAAAGAGACAATGTTCTCCAATTTTCATAATGTTAAACTGTGAGTATATATTCTTTGGTTGTGCATAGAAACATTTTATATTTCATTTCCTAAGCCTAGAAGACAGGGAGAAGATTTCAGGCTTGCCTCTCTGAGAAACACAGTAGCTTGTTTTGCAGTTTTGAAGATTGCAAGGAGTATACTCCTTATGTATTCTGTGCCAAGAGACCCCAGAGGATAACCTAGCAAAACTAAATTTAAAGAAGAAAACGGTTCCCTGGAGAACACTGTGTTAGGATTTTCAAAGTATATTACAATTATTTAATGAATGAAGAAAACTTTAAAATCCATAACCTCAAGTTTAAAAACAGTACAAAAACTATTTTTTGACTTGGCTTTATATTGTAAATTGTAAAAGGGGTTGTTACAAAACCTAATTCAGCTTACATAGGCATGGCAAGCATACATGTCGAACAAGAAAGATGAAATGCACTAATCTTTAGTGTGGAAGTACTTAAGGTCCTTGCCAAAAGTTTTAATTCAGATTGATTCAAAGAAGAGCTTACTTATATTTTATTTCTCTGTTTAAGCCTCTGAAGGCCATCTTGAGTGGACAATTAAGAGAGTGAATCAAGTTTAGAATCTAGAAAGCCAAGGTATGTCCTGATGATCTGGATTGAAAGGAAGTTAGGCTCATGTTCAGTTTTTCTAGACAGACACACAAAAGTCAGATGTGTTTGTGTCTATTCTTTATGTGTCTACATCTGATCAGTAGACAAATCTTTTCTATTATAAATATAAATCATATTTCAAATATTTTTCTTTTTCTACACTTCCACTGTACATAAACAATAGAAGCTATAAAAGATACATGTTAAAATCACTGTTGCAATACACATGAGACAATTAAAAATAGCTGACTGAATTATAAAATGTGCAGAACATGCAATCATCATGATTATGCAGCCTTTTTATCACAATCCAAACATACCTATGTAAAGAGAACTCAGGATAAGAATCGATAATCTACCAGTAATTCACCATCCTTGATCCTGCTTTCACCATCATTAATTTCAATAAGACAGGTTCATTTTGCCAGTTTTAAAAACCGGCAGTTTTACCAGGTTTAACAAAATAAAAACAAAATAGAAAGTTATCCCTATAAACTTTAGAGTCAGGTATGCAGCATGACTGACAGTGATTTCTTTTTGCTTTCTGGATGATGGGAAAGACTGGTTTTACTCCATTTAGTCACTCAGATTTTTCCTATGTAATGTCATGCTATCTTAAATATAGATTTAGTCAGCAGGCAGGTGTAGGAAAAAACAGAATAGAGAATCATATGGGAGGTTTGGCTTGCAGGCCTGCAAATTATTTTTCTACCTTTTCATTTGTTTCATAAAACTTATTTTTTGTATTTTCTATGTGTTTCATTAGCTTAAAATGCACTAACCAGGTTTGCTATGTGGACAGCTTATAACATAGTTATTTTTAGGACTAAAACTTCATTGGCAATCTTATTTTATTATTTTATGATAAACAAAATTTCATAATAAGATGATAGGAGAGTAACAATAGACAACACATAAAACTTATTTGAAATCGTGGTTCTGATTGGTCAACAAAATAGACGGTACAGTTCCTACCTACCTATCCAGATTTCCTGTGTTTCCATTTTTTTCCTTACTTGACATGCTATGCACCTTAACTTTACTTTCATCCTGAAGTGTTTTACTT